CCCCCCCCACACACTCCTTCTTCAAATAGAAGAACGGAACACAGAACAGATGTCATTGATACCGTTGCCAAATACGTCCACAGTTCCACAACACAAGTGTCTCACATTAATTTCCGAACACAGAGGGGGGTCGAGTGTTCCTGGCAGATAGTGAATTAACACAGCCTACACCTGTTCAAGGATAATTACATCAATATCCGATCACAAATCTGAACATAATAGGTCCAAAACAAGAGCAACAAGTGTCTTCTGAACCAAAAAAAATAAAGAAGACATAAAAAGAACACACCAAATGACCACCTCCACGTTAAATTTAAAAAAAGCCTACAGACTAGGTGGAAGCAGCCACCACCTCGCTGCACGACACAGTGCAAGACAGAACGTAGGCTCCGTACACGGCACAGGCCCACAGCAAATACCTGGCTGCAGCCAGTAGAGGTCAAACACCTGATCAGTTCCAAACAACTAAGTCCAACACAGTAAGAAAATATCTGCTTGGACAAGCCCTGTGACAGGGTTTCAACCGTTGGCCAGGAAAATCAGTGAACCGTGCGCGCTACAAGTGCAGGTACGAAACATTCACACGCGCACTATTTTGTCCACACAGCGGTGGTTTTGGCAGCTGGATGTGGTTCACCAGCTCGTTAGAAGCAGGGGTATAATAATTAGTCGGTGTTGAGTTTTGCTTCAGGTACAGCCAGCTCGATACCCACCACATTTGGCTATGAATAGATCGGAATATCAGTAACACTGAAAACAATGGCGCAGAGAACGCCTTTACGCCCATCAGTCCACTTCAGCTTGAAGAGCTCGCAGCAGTTTTCCAATTACACAGAGAGAACAGGAGAACACAGAATCCATAGTTTTAATTAGAGTTTTACGGCACTTGCAACCCAACAAGGTCATGTAAGTGCCGAAGATTAGAGGTGTTACATGAGGGTAACAAACACAAAAAATAAAGAGGAGCGATAAGAACAACAGATGTTTGACAAGAAATGAAAACGAAATCACACCAGAGCACCCGCCAACCACACTTTAATGCCATATTGAAAAGAAGAAGGAGCAGAACAAATTAAAATGTCCACTGACCATCCGTTGTACACGAACGACTATACTTGTCTTTCAACCTATGAGAGAGACAATACTGTTATGTCACAGATGCCATGATGCATCTAAGAACATAACAAAATGGTTCAGCACTTTCGGTTTCCTTTTTCTTTCTTTCAACACACGATCTGAATAGCAAACTACTTGCAATAACGAGAACAGGCTACGAGGACATGATACTGTATAAAAACATATCTCCAGACTCGTTTAATTTAAACATTTTAATGTATTTAATGCTAAAAAGGCCAACAGTACTGATTGCTGACACATTCGGCGAGTAACCCCAGCAGAAATTCTGTGTAGTCACCGACTCAATAGTGTCCTTGCCTGCGGAATTTCATCCTGCCCCACAGCGCACACTGCGTTATGTTTGTCCTTGTAGCTGGCGTTGTAGTGATTTTTCCCCAATTCAACACCCACTAACACACTGAATAGAACAAATTCAAAGAAGGACAGGAAAAATCTATCTGTCCTGCCACCTCTCCCCCCGCACGCATCTCCCACACAGACACATCAATTACGAATAAAATCTCAAGTTTACAGTAGCCAATTGTTTTCGTCGCATCAAACTACCCCCACCCTCGCCCCCTCACCCATCCCCACTCCCACCCTCCCCAGTTGTTGAA